AAAAAGTGATAGTCACAGTACTTGTGACTGTACAAGAGTATCAAAAAACCCGGTGTGCGCGAGGGGAGTCCAACGGCTCTTTTGTTGGGTAACATGGCTCTATTCGATGGGTTCACTACACAGCCCATAGCGGGATACATGCGTTAGTTACATAGAGTGATATGCAAGGGGGTAATGTTAACTGGACAAGTCTGGTGTGACCCCTGGGGTGAGAACAAACCAATGATATGGGGGAAGTTACGCAATGTGAACTGGTTAATTGCGATTGCGGGAGTATTAACAAGCCTGTGGGGAACCGAGTAAGGAGACAGAGAAGGCGTGAATCTAGGCGATAATGAAGCAGTGCAGGGCAAGTGGTGTGTTTTCTGGGGCAATTGTAGCATCTTGAAATGAAATCTATGGTATCTATGCGATATGTTGACAGCGAAAGTGTTAGGTATTCTGGTTGTTGTAGTCACTTTATTGGCTAATGGACGAACTCGTTGGGACCTGGAAGCCGAATCCCCGCTGTTTCGGAATAAAAAGAAATTTATGAGTAGTGAAGAATCTAGCGGATCAAAAACTAGGAGATAGGTGCGATGGACAATTACTGCAGTCCCTTCCAACCTATTGTTTTGTTATTATTATTATTATTATTATACACGTTAACTATAGGTAGGAAACACCTGAGCTACTGTGCCGCAATACCTAAAGGAAAAACGGGAATAAAATTCAACGAGTGCAGAAAAAAGAATAAAATGTCCTTATGGTTGATACTCACAAGTAAAAATCCGTCAGTGATGCAATTATGGGCAGCATTATTTCGTTCTATCAGCTGATTCCTTGGGCAAAACTCATACCGCAGCAGCTCAGTTGGCCTCCTATCTTTCAGCCCATGCAAAACCATGGACTACTTAATTTATTAGTCTATAGCTGAACCTGAGGTTTCGAATGTGAGCACACTTTTTAGTCTTTTGATTTCTGCCGCTTCGGATCAAACGTGCTGTCGTTCTCCAAGGATGTTGGTGAGGCTCCCTAAAAGATAGCAACATGCCTGCTTGACCTGACATGAAAGAAAAATGTTCCATGAAACTTGAACGACTGCATTGGGAAATGCGGCAGAATCTTAGGGGTAGATATCAATCTATTCGTTCTACTGCTAACCATGTATCGAGTTTTATTAGCACAGACCCTAGTGGATGAAGTGCTTCGAAGTCAGAGCAATAGCGTATATGGTTTTATAACTTTGCTTCGCTTGATTCAGTATTTTCCTCAATTTTTCATCATCGCCGCAAACACCTCGTTTACTTGTCGTTGCAACACATTCGCGAAATGTTCGACAACTGATTTTCACTGAGCGCGCGGGAATCTGCACTGACAAACCATGGCGCGTTGCCGAACATAACCTCCTAGCGCATTCCCTATGGAATGGAGCGGCATCGTGCCTTGTTTATCGCCATATATAAAGGGTTGAATTCTGGGATTCGAGCTCAACGTACTAGCTAAACTTATCACACATCTTAACGAAACTACTTGCATTAGAAATCAAAATATCTCAGTGGATCCTCTATCAAAGTATTTCTCGGGCTTTTCTGCCTTCAGCCAATGCACGTGGTACGCCACGTAGGTAATACAGGTGGATTTATAAAACGGCGTTTGAATAACTCCGCCGGACCAGTATATGAGCTCCTGAGCTCTGTTCACACACCTTTTGATCCCCTGTTGACCGTAATGGTATGGTCCAGTCTGGTTTCTCGGTAATGCCTTGAGTAGGTATTTTGCTACCCAGGAATAATGGATCCTCCCGCAATAGAAAATTAGCTCGAGAGTGCACACAAATCTAGGTCACCGAGCAGATACGTCTTATCTGCAGGCCATCTATCATGGCCACAGCAACTTGCAGCCCCTGCCATCTGCCTTACGATGTTGTTGCTGTCGTGAACGTCAGTTAATGGTAGCAATTTGTTACACTGGATAAATGATATCGTGGGGTACACCGCTAAGTGCGTACAACGTCAAAAACGATTCAACGCTATCAACTTTTTACGGTCAGCTCGAATGACTAACCATAGTTGGACACCTGGAAGATATACTTTCGGTATCTTTTCCTTGTTTACTTCGGTTAAATCAAATTGCGATTTATTACCAATATTTTCGTTGGTCGCTGAGTCTGATTATTGCCGTTTTGTTTGGCCTTTATCCCTGATAGCACCATTGGACGGTTAACTCTCCGATTGCCTTCTGCTTTCGGATTGAAATCGGTATATGGAAAAGGAAACCATTTTACACCGTTAGCCACTATACCGAATGCTGCTTGAACGGTTAGAATTATGCAGCGACGTATAACAATTAAGCAAGCGAATAGATGGTTATGAGTTCTGCAAGCTTTTCAGAGTGTCCGAATTCCGTCTGATAACCGAGTGAAATCGTTGCGTGGGAAACAATGTCTTCAAAGTCAAAACAAAGTGGTCAGACAAATGCAATAACCGTGTCAAGTACTGTTTACCACACTGCTTCATTAATTACCCAATTCGGTTAGCTCCTGCACTATACATGTTTCTTTTCTTATTATATGTTGTTTCAGACATTGCAGTAGCGTCCCGTAAGTTTCTGCAATAGTAAATGCTGCCTGGTCGATAGCTAAGAGGCAGCAGTCAATGGGAATGGGGATTGGGCATCGATGAAAAACAGCAGGGGTAAGTGCTGCCCTTTATTGACCGCCAGATTTCCGTCCGAAGTTGTTTCATCGTAGCTTCATCGGTCAGTCGGCGGACACACGTGTAGTCCAGGTAGGTTATAAGCGCCGGCAGCATTGTCGATCGCCAGGTATTGTAGCTTTCGTGTTTTTTGGTAGATCACAGAGACAGGCCACTTATACAAGCTGATCCCTCTGTATGGATATGCATTGGTTAAAATTCGTACAGCTAGCACTGTTGGGATAAGCAACTCCGATATGGGACGGAAATCGGACACACAAAAAGCTCGCCGAACTCACTCTGACTCGTAGTCATCTAGTTGCAGACTTTTGCTTGATAAATTGCTGGGTAATTCTAATCGTTCAGGCGGCATTCCGTGTAGCTGTTAACGGTGTCAAGTGCTTTTACTTTCCACACACCGATTTCAATCCGGAAGCGGGTGGAAATCGGAGAGTTGACCGTCCGTTGGTGCTACCGGGAGACATGGGATATTCCGGATAAGGGAAGCAGAAGACCTAGATATTGAAGAATCTACAATCTATGTCTTCTTATTTCCCTGTTCGGAAGTATAAAGGAAACTTCTTGTTTCAAAAATGGAATTTCTTGCACCGTGCCATTTCGGCCAGGCGCGGAACTTGGATGATCTAACTGTAACTGGCACTTGCCCTCGAATGGCATCTCGGGTGGTGATCGGTGCCAGGGTGCTCCCTCGTCCGATGCTATCCACTCCATTGCTGGCTCCAGAAGCTTGTGAATCCTTAATTTGGCAGACAGGGTTCAGTGTCTTTCCAACAATGATAGACTCACAGAGTAGCTCCATTGTGGAACGAGTCACGGTAGATCCCTGCCTCGTATAAGTCTGTTAAGAATAGTTCCTTAAACTGTGGTGCGAAAGGATGCATGTTGAGTAATTGTGTCTGCCGGGATGACTGATGGTATATCTCCTCCTCCTCCTCGCATGTGATATGAATGTGCGTGGACGGGACTGCGGGTGGTATAGCGTAAGCCACACACGGTCCAACCAAGAGTGGGATGCAAGTGTAGCCGCGTTTTCGCGAGGGCTGACAAATGCATGTTCATCTGGTCCGATCACTTCGATTATTGGCCGCATGAGACCGATAATGGTTTCTGGATACACACACTTCGGGAGAGTGCCATACTCAAAGCATGCTTGCATCCAGAAACGAGCTGCAGATTCGCATGTATACTTCCCCAAATTTCTAATAACCAGTGTGTAGGTTGAAGGCCTCGTCGACTCAATCGTAAGTCTCCCATCCGCATAGCTTCCGATCTAATTCATCTTAGTTCTCATCAAGTATAGAAATTGTCGGTGCAATTGCGGTTGGCGCAGTGCATGTTCCCGTGGTTCTTCTCTAATCTCAGGTGTCCTGTAGCGGCTCGAGTCAAAGAGGCAGAAAATTCCAACAACAGATGATCCGGACCATGTATTTCTCGAACGTTGTGTGGCAGTTAACGTAACGCGTGCTAGCGCTGGGAAGACTGACGCCGTTATAACATGTACTGCCCAGACCACTGGAGAACATTAGAAGGTCCAACGGAGTTTTGATGAACTCATGAATTGGTCGAGCTACCGGTCCGCAAACTTAAACATTTCAAAGCGTTATGATGTAAAGATCTGTTTCATCCGTTCAGATAAGCTGTGCTCCCCTGCAAAGACCTCACCACCTTTGATCATGAATGACCAAAATGTAACTTGATTAACTACCTCGAAGTGGCTTGGAGCTACCTTGTCCCACCAATAGTGACAGTTTACACAAATTCTTCAAACTTACCGAAAAGGTAGAATATTACCATTTTACTCCCTCAGGCTAGAAACACTTTCGGTACCTCGTGATTTGATTTTAAAGCTTGTGGCTGCATGTGTTCTCCTGCATTGGTTATACCGCACACTCGACAATTTTTAGACTTCATCGAAAGGCTTCTGTCTTGGTTGTTTGCTCGCCAAAATTAATTTCCCGATGCTGTGAATTATGGAAACAGTCACTTGCTGAAGTCAAAGTTGGACTTGGAGAATCCAGTTGCCAGTGTTGGGATGAGCAACACCAAAATATTGCCCGTTTCTTGCTGACTTAATCGTTTTATTGATGATGTGTCATTTATTATATCACCAGTAATAGTGCGAGGTGCTAAAATTGCGGTCATACAGTCTATAAAACTGAATTTGACATGACCTAATTAGAAATAAAGTATGACTCGAGTCATAAATAGATTTACAGCACAAACTGACAGCTCTAGCATAATGTGAAAGTAACCCTTTCTATGCCCACTGACGTTCCTTCATCGTATATGTCTCTTTTCGACAAGACCCTCTGTGTGGATGAACAAGATGCCAAAAGAGGTGAACTACAGCGATCCATACAATGCCAAAGCATGTTGATCGAGAACAGCAAGCGCAACCTGGAGCAGTTGAAAAACGGTATTCGTCACGTGATCGAATTGAGAGACAACCGAGTGGTGCAGTTGGTCGAACGGAACGAAGAGCTCTGTGTCATGCGGGTGAGTGGTGGGCTAGTGAGTAGGCATAACAGTCAGTACAAACGACCTGATTCCCAATTTCTTTTGGCTTGATGCGAAGAGAGTTCCTAATTTTTTGTTTTCATTTTTGATACGTATACAATGAGATTCTAAGCGTCACACTAGTGTAGCAACGGGAATCACATGTGCTAATTTGTATTGTTTACGGCCAGTTTTGGTTTCTCGATGTTCAGTTGGAGGCACTTGGTAGAATTGTGAGCCTAGCTTGGGGTGTAACAATTGTCGGTTGACGTCATTACTCCTCCGCTGCAGAGCTCCATGGGAAAAAAGTTGTTACAGCGGTTAAGGACTCGTTGGATAGATCATTTTGAGTCACTCGGGCTTCGGTCATTGGAGCCGCATCTAAAACACGTGAGCAAAATTACCGACTCGCAGCACTGCGCTCTAGCAACGGTTTCATACTTATTTGCACAGGTCAAGTATAGATAGCAGGCATTCGAATTCAAAACGTTTGGATGTCAATCAAAACTCCTACCCCTAGGTCACCGAGTCGAGACTGAAAATGCTTGTGACAGCAGTAAATGACTTACCATAGGGGTTATTTTAAACCATCTGTCGTATGCATGGCTTCGACAAGCAATCTCGTTGTGAACTTTACTTGCCCCTGATGAGAATCAAGGTCATAACGGCTAATATGACCATATCGGAAGCTTTAGTGTTGCTCTTCCCAACACAGAGATCTCACGACGCGTTTAGTCCTTGTTTGAATTCGTCGAATAAATTATACTCTGAGCTGGGAGTGGAAATCGGTACCTAGGGGTTGGCGGCTATCATTATGATCATTCAACCATTGAACTGCGTGAACAGAATAGGGAAAATAGAGAGTTGCTTGACATGCATCTGCGTTCCTCCATCGTAATTAGTTCTGGCACTTGCGTAGATTCTGGTCAGTGATTCCTGAGCATTTGCTGCATACTACAGCTGAGCCATAGGCTATTCGGGTGTGATGCGCTCACTGTATCTGAACTCCGTTTATTGGGTGTCTATGGATTGCTTGAATTCTGACACCGATGTCGCCACGAGAATTTTCGCAGGCAAACAGACCCAGCATTTCACCACTCGGCCCTCGAAGAATAGGGAGTGAGCTATCCCCTATAGATCCGGTACCATTAGCTTGTACCGGCGCCAGCGAGTACTGCAAAGCTTGACACAGGGGTTCGAAGTTGGTTGTCGGGTCCTGGGGTCCCCGCTGCCGTGTGTCTTGCATTGCAACACACTGTCTCAATTGTGGTCTTGGTTGACCTTGAAGTGGGGTTGTGCAATTCTGAGCGCTCAGACCGGATCCGAAGTGGAGGGTTTCGGTGTTACTCTATTTCTCCCATCCCTGCACCACTCGACGTGTTTCGTCCTTGTTTCGACGGCCTGAGTTGGGAGTGGAACCCGAGACCGAGTGCTTAGGAACTGGTATTTTGCTCACTAGACCCTTGAGATCCGCGAGCAACATTTGGCACAGATCGGTCTGACTTCACTTGATGAGCTCAAAAAAGGACGAAACCAATCGTGAGGTGCCGATGCTTCGAGGGCGCAACACCGAAATCCTCGACTTCGGATACAGTCCCGGTGATCGGAATGACCTCCCATCGGTCGGCACTCCCACACTTGACCCCTTCACCCCTCTATGGGCTCCTAGAGACCGAGAAACTGGGCCTGCTTGTATACGAATGCTCAGGGTCTTTTTAATTAACCGGCCGAAGTGAAAGATCGCGCAGCTTCCGGGTCATATGATGTCATTGGTATGACCGAGACGTGGTTACACACGGGAATGACGGACGCTGAAGTTTCGCTACCGGGCAAGTCGCTGATCCGGAAGAGAAGAAGGAGGGGTAATGCTGTATTATGGAAACGAATTACAGTACGAAGTCGTGGCCGATTCAGTCTCGCAATTCCCGACTCTCTTTGGTGCCGCTTGCAGTGAAAAGGCAGGGACGCTTGTCTTAGTGTCTTAAAGTACCGCCCCCTAAATCTACACCCGAAACCCACTCCCATCTAGCGGCTGCTTTAAGATGCAGTTTACAGCGAAAGTACACTCACATACTTATCATGGGTGATTTCAACGTACATTGTGTAGAAACGTGCCACGATCGGAGAACAATTCAAAGACGACCTACAAGATCTCGTAACCATTGTTCCTCTTTACATCCACATCACTTTGTTCACTCAGTACAGAACAGATAACAGGTCATCTGTGCTGGACATTGCGCTTACTAACGAGCAGCATATGATTGACGCGTTGGTTTTAGACTGCCCATTGAGTCGCAGTGGTCACGCTGCTCAGCTCCTCAGCGCTACAACTTTGTCGTTCCTGGCCGAGGAACCCCCGGAAGTCGCCTGGCTCGAGTTCGTCAACAAATTCAGCCAGCTGACTGCAGTGGCTTCAGAGATAAGTCTTCGCAATAAGTGTACATCAGGTTGTTTTGTAACGAGCAGAACTCGAAAATTGATGACAGTACGCAATGCAGCATGGCAAGTGTACAGAGAAGCTGCTGCATTAGAAACTTGGGACAACTAGGTAGCCAAACGTAGCCACTGCACGCAACTGCTAAGAGAAGACAAAGCCGCCTATCAGCAGAACATCGTAAACACATTCAGTGCTAACCACAAACTGTTGTACAAGCACGTCAATAGCTTACGAAAGGTGAGGCAAGAATTTTCTCCACACAGGACGGCTGATGGCTCAGCAAAAACGGCTATGAAAGCAGAAAACGCGCTGCGGATGCAATATGCCCAAATGTTTCTGTGGGTCTTACCACCAAGCGATCTTCCAACCTTTGTCGTCTCCTCGCCAGAACTAACCCACAGCACTTTAATCGCGGAGGCTGTATTGCAAAAGCTGACGTCTCTACGCGAACACAGATCACCGTGTGTCGACACTATTCGTCTAGCACGACCTACCTTGGAAAAAGCCGTGTTGATGTTTACTGAGAAGGCTCATAGAACTCAAATATTCTATTATGCGTTCTTTAACTATCCTCTCCATGATTCTGGAGATAATAGATGTGTGGTGGATTGGGCGGTAATTTTTTACATCTTGCATAGATCCGCTTTTGTGTCTTGGTATTATAGTTGATTGTTTCCAGCATATAGGATACTCCCCATTGAGCATGGAAAGTGTAAATACATTAAGCAATAACACGGGGATGTCTGGACCTCCGTGCTTTACCAGTATTGGAGGGATGTTGTCAGGGCCTGGTGAGCATGATGGCCGAACTAATCTGAGTTGGCGACATATGTCACTAAGTGTAAATCCAACAGTTTGGAGTGTATTCCTGCCTCTGTGTATCAGCTTGAGCTGAGGATCTTCTTTCGCATTAGCGCCATAAGTACACAAAGTAGTCATTGAAGATCGAACATATGATTGCACGGTCGGTTATGGCAGTTCCATCAGAGTTTACAATGGCGTTTATACAACTTGATTTTCTATTCTGCCTACGGTCCAAAAGTTTTGAGATGCAGCCTACTACATTGGCGCCCTTCAGTGCCATTACTTCCTCAGAGCATAGCATTTTGTGGTGGTCTTGGTATAACGCTGTAAGCAATCTGGTGTGGAGCATCAGCAGAGTAAAATCGTTAGTTTTCCTAAATTTTTTCTTTATTTTATAAAGTTTAGTGGCTACCTTTTTTGAGATGCCTGAAGGAGCAGCAGTCCTTTTCAACTTCTTAGTACGTTCTGGAGCCACAGCTTCAACACAAAGCTCAATGCGGTGGTAGAATTCATTACAAGCAATTTGTACATTCTGTGCTAAGAAGAATGGATCCCAATATGGAGACCTTATAAGATCTGAGAAAATTGGCCAATGCACAGAAGAGAATGGGCGATAATTTATCACTGATTCTGTCGGTTTAGAAAGAATTTGGAAAGAACAACCAACAATGTTATGATCACTACCCGGCAACTTGTCACTGATGTATGTGGACACATGCGAACATCCCATCGTAAATATTAGATCAAGTGTGTTACCAAGCCTTGTAGGTTCTGTGACGTGCTGCACCCATCCCAGTCGATCAAGAGTAGACATAAAAGGATTGTGTTTTTGTGGTTTATTATTAAGGGACCACGGGATTTCGGGCATATTAAAATCCCCAGCGATTATTTTGTTAGTGTATGAGAGGTCAGCAATAAGAGAGAAAGTGTCCAGCAAGTCATCGGTCACGGTAAGTGTAGACGATGGGGGTCTGTAAATACAACCTACTAAGAGATTTGTTGGATTAATAGAAATTGTAATCCACACCGAATCAGGAAGTCTCTGTAGGAATGGTTCATTCAGAGGCAGAACCAAGTATTTGTCTTTGACGTAGATTATACAGCCACCACCTCTACCATAAAGACGGTCATTACGAAAGATGTTATAACCCAGTATCCTGAACAATGTTCAGACATCTCCGCTGAACACCAGGTTTCTGTAATTAGTACAATATCAGGAAAAGAAAGGTGAAGGATATTACGTAGGAAGTGCATTTTATTTAACAGTGAACGGGAATTAATTAAAACTAATTGCAGTGTCTTGTTATCCGTTGGGTTGTCTACAGGAATCCAGGTACAGGACCCCAACGAGGTGGTATTTGGAGAGAGTGGAGTGGGGGTGGTGGATACGGAGGACATATAATTTGCGGAATTAGTGTCATTTGGGGGTGTGGCGGGTAGAACGCCACTGGACCCCCAAAAAAAGGTTGGAAGGGTGAAATACTGGGAAAATGGCGACCCACTGGGAGATTACAGTTTTCTGGCTGTTGCACATAACCTACGTGCCAGTTAAGATTATTTACATGTTGAGGTAGTTTGAGAGGATTTTGGTTGGACCAATTTCTCTCAGATACTTGAAGTTCTCTAGTAAGTGGCTCACAAGTTATGGAGCGCACAGGTCGCATATTCAAATTCTGCATGGTTGAAGATATGCCGATTGTCTGCTGGATTCAGTGGTGACAGCGTTTGGTGGAACGTTTAAAATAGCTGTGTTTTTATT